TAAATATATATATTTAATATAAATGTATATATATATATATGTGTGTGTATATGTATATATACATTCCCGCATAATGCCGAACTGGGGTTTTTCTTACGGAACGTGGTTATCTTACTTGTTTCTATGTCAGTCCTGGAGGAATTTAACTGATTCTCAACGAAATATCCTCCTAAGAATCTGTTTATAACTCAAGGAACTGTTTATCGAGGTAACTCGAGCTGACAAGCCTGATGAAATACATTATTTAGGACTATAAGACTCCCTAGTGATTTGGCTCAATTGCTGGATATTCTCTATTTAAAGTACTCAGGTGTCAGTTTACAGCCCCTACAGCGCGGGCTGTTCTTTTGCACGTGCGTTAAGTATATTCGATGTCACCAGTGTACTGCCGACCCCACCTTTCTTCTCTGTAAGATATACAAACGGTTCAGTTAAGTAGAGCGGACGGACGGACACAAACGAGTGCGAAAGTCTTTCTTCAAAAGTATTCCTTGCATATTCTGTAGGATCTCTGATTCAGATTTAAGGCCCACTAATCTCACGTGCAAGAGAAGCACGCGCTAGTATGGTCAATGTAAAACCTCGTTGGTCAGTACAGTATTTAAAAGTTCATACCTTAGTCGGAAGCATAACGAAAACAGAACATCAAAGGCTGTGAGTAACATACACCTGGCTTAAGACACGAGAAGCATTCTATTTAAACATGTTTTATACAGGATGTCTTCAGATCAAACCTTCTCGCCTGGTGCAATTATTTAAACTAACCAAACCTTTTATTTCTTTACATATTTATGTGATGATAAAAAAAAATTAAGCCTCAAATATACAAAGAAATGGTAAAGCCTCTGAGCTATTCAAACAATATTTCTATTTACTTTTAGACAAGGGCGTCCAGAGGGGGGAGAGGGGCACTTGCCCCTACTTGGAAAATGAGAAACATAATTCTTACTTTATTCATTCAGCATATATATATAGGAAATTTTTTGTTCAATTCACAATTTCACACTACTTTCCCTCCCCTGGAAATTTTTCTGCGGACGCCAATGCATTTAGTTCCAAAATGGAAGAGGATTTCCTCGAATTCCGAGACTTTGTATTTTTTTTTTGTTTTCTTCTGAATCGAAGTATTGTTTGTTTGTTTATTTGAAGTTAAGTACAAAGCTACACAATGTGCAATCTGTGCTCTGCCCACCACGATTATCGAAACCCGGTTTCTAGCGTTGCAAGTCCGCAGACATACCGCTATGCCACTGGGGGACGATTTGAAGTATTTGACCAATGAGAATTCTAGCTTCCTCACATAAAAAATGGTGCGCTAAATGTTTAATTAGAAATTACATATAAAAGAAATTTGAATTTAACAAGCGATAGTTTAAATTATACACGAGATGGTTACAGCCCTGTTGGGTTACTTATTTCGTCATAGGCTAGTCGATGTCACTATAAAATCAACATTATTTAAAGAAACTGGATACTCGGGTTTTCTTGCGTGCTGGAGTCAGTTCAAATAAATACATTTAGAGTGATGCGACCAACTCTTTTCTCTTCATGATCAAGGTTATTAATGACGTTTCATATTGCTTCATCACGTTTAATTTCACTATATATTTCTGCGCCAACGCAAATATTACTTATTACCAATTTGGTTTTGTTTGTTTGTTTATTTGTCGAATTTCGCGCAAAACTACTTGATGGATATCTGCGCTAGCCGTTCGTAATTTAGAAGTGACAGGCTACAGTGAAGGCAGCTGGACAACAACACCAACCGCTAACCCTTGAGCTACTCTCTACCAACGAAAAGGTGGGATTGAATGTCATATTATATCGCCCCAACAGCTGAAAGTGCAAACATGTTCGGTGCCAGTATTCGAACCCGCGATCCAAGGATTGCGAGTCTGGCGCCCTAAATATTAGGACTGGTTATTTTAAGAATATTTTGTTAGGCATTACAGGTAGTTCCGTGTTACAACCAGAATACTCTGGAAAAATCGATTCGTCAACTAGCCCAAACTTGTTTCAAATCGTCTAATAAAAACTGTCGGTTGTTTGTACAGCAGACTTTCTACAAAGCGGTTATTCGAATAAAAAAATACGTGATTTTCAAGTAAAGTTTACTGGTCACATAACCATCTAATTGATGAAGTGTTAGTGAAAAAGATTATCGAGCACAAGTAAAATACTTTTGTTACATTCTTACCGCATAAACCAATCACATCCAAGTATAAGAAGCTTACTTATCAGACCGAACTCCTAACCTCTTCCCAGTACTTCAGAAATATTTTAAGACTCGGTACAATATTATACGACTTTCTCTTGTAAAATACTGTAACCTTCCCATTTTGTTGTTGCGGGAGTTCGATGGGTATTTGGTATTTTTAATCTGATCGACACAATATGTGATAAATAGGCTTAACAAACAGTCAAAATCACCCACTACGTTCACGGCTACTCTTAACAGATTAGTGGGACTGACTATCACTTTCATAAAACACCCATAACTGAAAGTGCGGAGCGTGTTCAGCGGAATATTTTTACCTTCCTATCCGTAGTCTGTCACGCTAGCCACGAGGTCACGTATATTAATATATGCAAGGAACAACAATGTGAATTCTTATATATACTAAAATACCTTGAAAACATTTTTGAATGTCCAAATGGTCCAATTCGCATAATTTTCTGCCAGGACTAGAAGATATAATTTGTTATTGTTATCGATGGGCAGATTCTTTATTAAATGTTTTTAAGATGAAATAAAATACAATTCGCCCTCGCGACTATCTTTCAGTGTGGATTTGTTACTACTTCATAGACTTTAAAAACACGTACAACATAGTTTACATAAGATATTCCAAACTGCATTAATAATACATGTTTAATCATTTCGTAAATTTACAAAGGACTATCACGCTACAAACTAGATATGATATTAAAAGACTATCACACTACCAACTGGATATGATATCAAAAGACTATCACACTACCAACTGGATGTGATATCAAAGGACTATCACACTACCAACTGGATGTGATATCAGTTGGTAGTGTGATAGTCCTTTAATATCATATCCGGCTGGTAGTTTGATAGTCCTTTGATATAACATCCAGTTGGTAGTGTGATAGTCCTTTGATATCATATCCAGTTGGTAGTGTGATAGTCCTTTAATATCATATCCAGTTGGTAGTGAGATAGTCCTTTGGATGTGATATCAAAGGACTATCACGCTACCACCTGTATATGATATCAAAGGACTATCACGCTACCAACTGGATGTGATATCAAAGGATTATCACGCTACCAACTGTATATGATATCAAAGGACTATCTCACTACCAACTGGATATGATATCAAAGGACTATCACGCTACTAACTGGATATGATATTAAAAGACTATCACGCTACCAACTGGATGTGATATCAAAGGACTATCACGCTACCAACTGTATATGATATCAAAGAACTATCACGCTACTAACTGGATATGATATCAAAGGACTATCACGCTATTAACTGGATATGATATCAAAAGACTATCACACTACCAACTGGATATGATATCAAAGAACTATTACGCTACTAACTGGATATGATATCAAAGGACTATCACGCTATTAACTGGATATGATATGAAAAGACTATCACACTACCAACTGGATATGATATTAGAACCACTATGTGCCACAGCTTCAAAGGTTTAAGTGCATGATTAAAGGAACCCGAACAAGTAAGTTAATATTATTTTTTACACGGCATTTTGAAATTCTTAGTAAAATACTTACTTCGACGAAGCCGACCTTCTTCGGGCGTACTTCGGTCTGTCGAGTCTGCATCGTCGGACACCGGAGTTTGGTTCAATCGGTCGTGTGTCTCGGGACTTACTAAAGAGGAGCTTCTATCTTCGGAATGAAATTCTTTCCCATAAACAGATGAAGTACTAGCATTCTGAGGCACGAGAAAGGGGGGAGTAATAGTGTCCTGGTACCTTGAATGGTGTGGAGTTGAAAGGTCAGAGTTGTCTGTTTTCAAACATTTGGCTGGTATGAAAGCAGATGCATGGAATCCATTGACCCCTCGATTACCTGAAATCTCCAAAGACCTTGTTCCGGAATTCAAAAAGCTGACTTGCCCCTCAAGACCAGGTGAGGTCATCACTGGGGAAGAAACTGGGAGAAAATGGGACGGAAAGCCAGAGTAGGTGTCCGTTTGTCCAAAAATAGACAGTGCAGAGAATGGCCCTGCTGACGTAAAGGATGGGTGAAAGGATGAAGAGGGATCCTTCTCCATAGCCTGTGTCTGCTGCCCCCCATCACTTGCTTGAGAAGATAACACCATAAAAGCTGGAGAATTGGCAGAACTATATATAGAAGGTGGAGCTTCCAATCCTCCCATTCGTATCTGCAGACTCTAGTGGAAAAACACAAACACAGTTGATATCAGTATTCACAATAAATAAACTTTTGTTAATAACAAAAACAGCTAAAATGTCAACCTTTCATTGGATATTACACAAATCATTGATACAGGGAAGCAACTATTTCACAAAGACATTAAAAATTCAACATTAACATGACGTATGATGACTGAAGATCGAGGTAAGTGGCGAGTTATTTGTCAAAGACTTAGGGAAACAAGTATGGAGAAACATCACAATATTACGATATTCAGGGCTCAGTAACTAGTAAATAATGCAAATAGCATTTACCTTTAGAAGGCTACGGCCTCAGTCACCAGTATCACTGGCAGGAGGCCTAAAGGAAAGCATGTGAATGCGCTCGGACAAAACGTGGGAATGCTTCTATAGTATTGGTCAACACGTACTTCTATAATGCAATATCTCAATGACAATTAGCTAAGGACCCGCGAAAGTCTTGTAACAGCAATTCTAAGGCTTAGCTCCTACTCAAATCGTAAGCTTGACCTTTATTTTACTATCGCTGCTACTGCCTAACACGTGATGTATTAGAGATGCTATTAAATTATGTTTGGAGTGGAAATACCTTAGGGTAAATAAAAATGATGTACTCATAATATTTCCTGTTTTTATGTTTCATAACACTTGGCACACACACATGTAAACTTCTTTCATTGATCTTTTCCCAAAATGTTCTTTATCAATCCGGTTTCGTAGCATTATAAACATTTTCTCCTGAATAACAGGCCTGGCGATTAGGGTGTTCGACCCGCTATATGAGGGTCGCGGGTTGGAAGAAGAACAAGCTGAGAATCTGGTTACTGAAAACTATACCACTACGAAACTGTATTAAAACTATGACATTTCTAGCAAAACAATTTCGAAAGGAATGGCGTTAATAACTTTTGTAAAAATGACAAACATCAGCATAACGTGTGTCAGATTCTATCTTTATATGACACGCTAAATTCGTCAAACATGCTTTCAAGTAGTCTGTTCAAATTTACTATAATTTTGAGATTCAGAGATATTCAATGATTAAACAAAGTGGATTCAATTGAGATTAAGTTGATGTAATTAAAAATGTGTGTGCATCTATAGAAACTGAAACCTAATTTATTGTGTTCCTTGATATAATATTTGTGCATGTTAAGGTGTTTTTTTGTTGGTGGTGGTGTTGTGATAGGCTGGCATACAACACATTCTTCACGTGCATATCGTAAACTTTCCTCAAACTACTTTTCTATTTTGAGTACTATTGCAAACGACCTATAAATCATATGCATATATATATATAGGGTTAAGGAAAATTCGTTTAAGGCTGTTTATTGCTGTGGTTTTCTAAAGTCTACTGACCCATACTTATAGTACAACCTTTTACGCTAATTAAACGGCCACTCCTGGCCTCAGCAGTAAATGTCTTCCTTTTACATGTGACAGTTATTATCTATACATAATAATTTCTAAGTTCCTACAACAGTTATTATATATCAAAGTTTTGGGTTCCTACAATTATTATATATCAGTGATTTTACGTTCCAACAATCATTATTATATATTACTAATTTTGCGTTCCTACAACAATTATTATATAAAGTTTTTGTGTTCCTACAATTATTATATATCAGTGATTTTTTGTTCCAACAACAAATATTATATATCAGTCATTTTGCGTTCCAACAACCATTATTATATATCAGTGATTTTTTGTTCCAACAAACATTATTATATATAAGTGATTTTGTGTTCCTACAACCATTATCATATGTCAGTGATTCTGCGTTCCAACAACCATTATTATATATCAGTGATTTTGCGTTCTTACAACAATTATTATATATCAGTGATTTTGTTTTCCTACAATAATCATTATATATTATTGATTTTGCGTTCCAACAACCATTATTATGTATCAGTGATTAAGCATTCCTGCAACAATTATTATATATCAGTTTTGTGTTCCTACAATTATTATATATCAGTGATTTTGTGTTCCTTCAACAATTATTATATATCAGTGATTTTGTGTTCTTACAACAATTATTATATATCAGTGATTATGCATTCCTACAACAATTATTATACATCATAGTTTTGCGTTCCTGCCACTATAATAATGTTGAACATTATGTCATAAAATAAACATTTCGTGAAGTACTGACAACTAACAACTCAATTTATTTAAAGTCCCAAATTGATCTATGAAACTGTAACGTTTGGTTCTTAAACAAATTTGTTTTAGTGTGAAGTTTATTTAATTGATCGCACGACGCAAGATATTGATGCCGGACTTCTAAGACCGGGTACGGAACACACCGTCGTTCATCACTGGGTACATCCGGCGATAAGGCCGCGTAAACTTTGACAGGAACATGTAGCAGGCACCGCTCTCAATACCGCTGTAACCGCCATTGAAGTTACGTACATCGGGCCGAATGTTAGGCTTCATTGTCGCAAACACCAAACACAATAGAACAGAGTACTTTAGTTTTACGTAAGTACTTATAACTACTTTAAACTAACTTTAACATTCAGGCAGATGTGAAGTTCTAAGAAAGTTCAACTAGTTAGGAGTGGCATATAAACGAACAGTAAGTGTCCTGTGGTGAAAGTAAACTCGGTAATAAAATGAAGCTTCTCGGCACTCCCCTATTTACGGAATATTTGCTGTTTCACTATCTTAACGCTATGCTCCTTATTAATTCTCCACGGAAAAATTATCCTAGAAATAGTAGATTATTCAGGATAAAGCAACATGAAATCCAAGTTGCACGATCTCCAGAAGTTTTCGTTTGTACTTGTAAGGGAATAATAAAATCATATTGGCCAAATCTCGTCAGATACATTATTGGGACTATGCCCAAAAATGTCGCTAACATCGAGTGTACCCAGTGATGATTCAATGCATTCTAATCAGTACAAGTTTCTGTTTTACGACTTTACATAAACCTAGTTGGATCGGTACGTTAACTTAGCTATGTTAATTATTAGGCTAATATTTAGTTTTGATCTATGTAGGTAGCTTGCTTTGACGAGAAGTTAATGTTAAAACCACACATAAAACCTAAGGTACGATATTTAAATGACACACCCACATTCTGATTTTCTGCAACAAAGAAAATACAGCCGAAACATGTAGATTTTATTGATTTTAATATATTCATGCTTTTAACAACGTTGTCATAAGTATTGTTTCGTAAAGCAAAATATCTTACAAATTTATGTTCATAGAGGGCGCAAGTTTGGAATACTACAAGTAACTGTTTAAATACTGAAAAAAAAGAAGAAAAGATGATGACATCTCAGCGATTAAAGCCAGTTTTGTTCGGAATAATGTAGCATGCCTTTAGAAATTCCTTCATCAATTTCAGCGCATAGCCCGATAACCTTCATGGTGTGTGTCATAACCTTCGGTGCTAACTCAAATGGATCATTGTATTCGAACAAATGCCAGATAAGCCAGTTAGATTACGAAAGCTACGCTTTATAGTCGTCATCGGATGTAGCTGTGTTGTTAGAAGTTACTTTCTGTCCAGAACTGAGGCAGGTTTCGTTAGTTGGAATGAGATGTTTACTTTAAACGCCAGATCATATTCTCATTAACTTTTTGTAAGTGCCTAAATTCGTTTTATTACCTCGTCCCAATGTTTAGGCCTAAATTATGATGCTGACTAATAAATCGTTGCTATTCTTCTAATCACATTTTATACAGCTCACTTAGTAACGCTAGGGTAGCTTCCATGGCGGCACTTAGTACCATTGGGGTAACTTCCATAATGGCACTTAGTAACACTAGGGTAACTTTCATGATGGTACTTAGTAGCATTAGGGTAACTTCCATGGTGGCACTTAGTAACACTAAGGTAGCTTCCATAGTGGTACTTAGTAACACTAGAGGGGTAGCTTCCATGGTGGAACTTAGTAACACTAGGGTAGCTTCCAAGGTGGCACTTAGTAACACTAGGGGTAGCTTCCATGGCGGCACTTAGTAACACTAGGGTAGCTTCCAAGGTGGCACTTAGTAACACTAGGGTAACTTCTATGGCAGCTCTTAGTAACATTAGGGTAACTTCCATGGTGGCACTTAGTAACACTAAGGTAGCTTCCATAGTGGTACTTAGTAACACTAGAGGGGTAGCTTCCATGGTGGAACTTAGTAACACTAGGGTAGCTTCCAAGGTGGCACTTAGTAACACTAGGGTAGCTTCCAAGGTGGCACTTAGTAACACTAGGGTAACTTCTATGGC